GATTGTGTGGTATACTTTTTGTAATATGCTTTATATTATAATAAACAAAAAACTGTTTTATTTTCTTAGAGACATATGCTGGAGCATTGTCTGTCTTTGTCTGTGTAGGTATACCCATGATGGCCATAACTTCTAGCAAATGTGTAATTACTAAGTCAGCCTTTTCTGAACTCAAAGCAGTTGCCCATTGAAAACCTGAAGAGGTATCAATGGTGTGTTGTATATATTTTAATTTTCCAAATTCTACAAAATGGAACATATCCATATGCCAGATTTCATTCCTTTGAGTACACTTTGGGTTACTTCCTGTAGGTAGTGGAGTTTGGTTGTATAAAGAACAAGTAGGATATTTCCTTATAATATCCTTGGCTTGTTGCCAAGTGATAGAACAGTATTTTTTTTCAAACCCATGCTATTGACATAGTGTTTTTTTTTTTATGAAATTCTGAGGCCTTTATCACGTTTCCTATCAATAGTTGATCAGTTTCATTATTACTTTGTGTTAGAGGGTCCTGCAGACCCATATGGGATTGGATGCGTATTTTATATATGGCATGACTCCTATTCCAGATTATGTCTCGTATCTGAATAAATAAATAAAGTCAATTCTGTATCATCTGGTATAAATCCAGCAATTTCAATATGTAAAACAACTCTTTCTGCATGTTGAGAATCAGTAACTATGTTGAGAAATTCTGTAAAAATCTATGAACACCATGAGAATAGCATATAATTCTGACTTAAATTTTGTGATTTCCCTTTTACGACAAATTTTTAACATTTAAATATTTCAAATTGACAACAATTCTTGAGTTCTAAATATGCTAACTCATGTGACTAAAGAACTACACTTTCTAAATTATCACTGTAGTGTCAGCCTGGTACAGTGACTCATATTTTCAAATAATGTCAAAGTTTAAGATTTTCATTTCTATCTGTTGGGAAACTGATGTAGTACTAGTGTGTGCATTAGGCTCTTTCCTTTAAAATAGTTAATAAAGGATCAAATAGTCAAAGGATCATAACTTTATAAAGGAGTTAATACGTCATCCGGAGCTAAGTAATTCGTTATCTTAACATTTATGCTAGAAAGACCTAAGTTACTTCCTTTTGCCTACGTATACATGAAATGATCTCTGAATGGGTAACTAATAGTGGTGGTTCTATATTGTAGAGCATGTTCACTGGAAAGATGGGACAAGACAAGGAAGAAATTTCATTGCATACTCTTGCAAAAAATAAAAATACTTCAACATCTCAGCACTAGGGACACTGGGGGCATTCTGAGCCATAGAGGAAACCACTGTCTCAAAAAATTATCGAAGATATGATGATGAAATCTCTTATATTTGTGAATTGCCCTCCCATGTATTTAATTCAGGTTTTCTTTCCTTTAAGGTGATTTTCTTGTAGCATTATATAAATGAATCTTTTATTATCCTATCTTGCAGCCTCTTCATTAGCATGTATGGATCTTTTACTTAAAAATTCTGTGTGTCAGTATGCATCATATAGAGGTCAGAAGACAACTTCCAGAAGCTCTTTCTGGTTCTCTCAGCTTTTACCTCTTCATGGGTTCCAGCGACCCAGCTCAGGTTCTCAGGCAGAAGTGCCCAGCACCTTTTCTCACAGGTCCTCTCAGCAGCCTGTACCTTTTACTTATAATTCGTAAATGTTGTTTAAGAATTAGAAATAAGATTTTTAAAAGGTTGAGTAATTTTTACCAAATAACCCTATCTCTAAAATTTAATTTTCATTAAGATTGCTTTGTTATATTTAGACTTATTCTAGGTTATCTTAGACCACCCACCCAAAATTAAGAAACTAAGACTACATTAAAAATAAAATGGGAACCAGAGAGATGGCTCAGCTCTTCCAGATAACCTGAGTTCATTCCCAAGGACCCACATCAGGCAGCCTAAGCACCCCTGTAACTCCAGTTCTAGATCTGATAACCTGGGGCCTCTTCAGCCACCTGCACACATGTGCATGTAAATTTATTCAGACATATAAACATAAAATAAATAAAAAACAGAATAGCTTCAAAATTTAGAGCTTTGTACTAAAAGATGGTGTCATGACCTCTCAACTAGCTGGGCAGCCTTTTCTAGATTGGCTTAAATGACCAAAATGTAGCACAGACAGACTCTGTTCCTGGGGATACCTGCTAGTTAGAGGAAAAAGAGAAAATGAGAGCCCATTGAGCCGTCCTACGGCTGACAAACACTCCCTAGAAACACTGATTCTTGGGTACTTATAGACTGTCATGCCTTCATCACCTGGCAACTTGATAGACCATTTCCTAGGTCCTGAAAGTGTAACTAGTGAAGGTGGCAAGGCAGGAGTGACCGCCACAGTCATTTTGGTTGACCCTGATTCAGGCTCACTTGGAGACCCTCTGCCCTGGAATATGGTACGTTTCAAACTCTAGTGAAATATCAAGCTTTCAGCATGCTAGCTCTAATTTTGGAACAGCTGCGGCATTAAGTTTTGGATAATGAGCCCAAGCCCAGCTGGAACGGAGTCATAGTTACCCCTTATTCTTGTTATTTACTGGGGAATAGAGTGCCAGGTGCAGCGGCTACACTGTGGAAATAATGCAGCTCTGTAGACAGTCCTGGCATTTCTTTCTGGATTTTGAAAAGGCTTTCATCTTCCAGTGGTACTTATCTCAACAATCAAAGCACATATACTTAATGACAATTTGTACTTATGCTAAAAATTGACAAAAAAATCTGAATTTTTTGCCACTTTAATACCAAAATTAGTATTTTGGCTGGATTACAAAGCTTACATTTAATTGAATCCCCGGTGTTGCGTCTTTCCACCAGTGTTTGCATGGTAACAACTTTCTTTAAGTGTCATCCCAGTTTAGTGTATTTTATTCCTCTCAGAGCCTCTGCTTTTCCACGTCTTTATTTTCACTTGCGAGTGGAGTGGTCTACTACCCAAGTTTCACATTAGTTATAGGCAGTGTGTTGTAGTGACAGTTCCTGTGACCCCCAAGCAGTATCCTGAGACCTAAAACAGGCTCTGTGTTCTTCAGATGCTTATATGCCACCCTATGCCAAATATGGGTAATTCATGGTGGACCACGTAGTAAAAACTACTTACAATAATCATTAGCAATCTTGTGGTTGTTCCTGGGGACTTGTGTTTTGTTGTATTCCAGATATGGGGCAGTAGTGGTGAGTGAGGTAGGGGCCTTCATCTCAAAATCCTATGGTGTCAGAACCCTCCTTTGAGGCGTTCTGTTTGATCCCACCGTGATGAACTAATTCAGTCTTTGACATCAGCAGTGTTGTGACTTCTGCTTTTCTGCCTTTTGATCAGATGTATCCTGTGATGTGTATTTTCAGAAGCCGTACATTACCACCCAGACATTCCACTGCTATTCAAAAATGGCTCCATCTAAAACCCTGAGTTCTATTTCCCACTCACCCTGAGAGTGTATGCGGGGTGGAATTCACATTAAGACACTGTTTACATGAGGTCTTGAGTGCAGTTGTTTGCACTTCAGTGAGAAAGGCCTTCTCCAGTAAGGTGCCTTTCTAGTGGAATCTTCCAGAGATGTCTCAGGTGTGCTTTCAACAGTGAAGAGCCGAATTCCCTCTGCTCCTAGGCATCTGTTAAGTCACCTGTTGGCCACAAGCATCCATCTCTAGTCAGGCATGATCCCCCTGGCTGAGGCTCCAAGAGGAAAGGCAGTCAGTGCCACAGCTGTGCGTTGCCCGCACTGGTACTGTGCTTTCTGAAGAAACAGTCCTCTTCCTGGACCCCTTTCCGGAAGCGGCATGCTGTCACTTTGTACCTGCCTTGTGTGCCTCTGTGAAGATTCTGTGACTATATACTAAGTGTACATTACCTCTCATAGTGTGTGCTTATTATCAGAGGGGTTGTTGTAAGTTCAGGGTCAGCCTGAGCTACATAATGAGTTCCAAGCCAGCCTAGGCTACAGGTGTGAACTGTTTAAAAAAGAAAGAAAAACAAACTGAGAAAACAAAGCATATTCCCAGTATGGCTCTCACAACATTGTTCTGAACACTACCCAGCCATTAACCTCCTGCTCCGATTTGCTCTCACCACTTCCCCTGTGTCTCATCTTCCTGAGAGCCATTTCCAGAGCTTTGTGCATTTGTGCATGCTCTTTCTTTCCTTCCTTCCTTCCTTCTTTCTTTCTTTGTTTTTGGTTCAAATGCTGCTTGGCCAATGACTAGGATTCTCATCTGCTAGCTCAGTCTTAATTATCATAAATATATATATTTTATAAGACTTATTTTATAGAGGATGCCTTCTGCTGGCACCCTCTCTTGCTGGTGGATCACATTGCACCGCTGGAGGAAAAGCGGAAGGGAAAAGGGACACTTCCTGTTTCTCCTTGCTTAAATATAAGTCTCCTTGCTATGTCACTTCCGGCCTGGATCACCACTTCTCTACTACATTTCCCAGAATCCTCTTTGACTCCTAGTCCTGTTTAACTTGCTGTCTCATTGGCGAAACAGAACTTTATTTAACAATCAATAAGATAAACATACACAGAAGTACTTTCCCCATCATTTTGGTCTTGGTTTTTCCATACTTAAAAACATGATTCTGACTCTGTCTCTCTCTCTCTCTCTCATCTCTTATCTCTCTCCTTCCTTCCCTCTCCTTTTCCCCCTCCATGCTTCCTTCCCTGTCTCCATTCTTTTGCTATGAAATCCATTTTAAGAAGCATTACTCATATATTTGGACAGATGCACTGTGTGGCCATACTTCTTCTAATACACTAGGCATTACATACTCTTGAATAGGGCTCAAATGGGTTAAAATTTGATCTCACCCTTTGAAATTTTTCCTTTTAAAGCTTGAGGAAATTAAAGCAGGGGGAGATTTTGAGAGTAAAGTGGGATTCTGAGTGAGCCAAGAAGATTCATAGTGAAGATTCATTTATTCTTGGAAACTCAAAAGTTGACTACACGAGAGATAGGCTATTTAGCTGTGGCATCTTTGTCTTACAGGAACACTATGATTTTTATACTGAGTCATTCTCCATTGTGGTTTAGGTAAGTGATCCTCCTGTGTTAAAGACTTGGTCTTTGGTGTGCTGCTACCAGAAGGTGGCCTTTAAGAGGTGGGGTCTGATGGGAAATCTTAGTTCACTGAGGTTTTACCAGTAAAGATTATTGGACACCCATCTTTTCTTCTTTACCATGGTTTCTGGCTGCCATAACCTGTTTTGTTACATGCTTCTATTGTGATATGCTGCTTCATCATAGGCCCTGCCAACAGCCAGGTACCATGAACCAAAACCTCTCAATCTATGAGTCAAAATAGATCTTTCCTCTTTCAAAGTTGATTGAGTGCATGTATTTGCCACAGAAATAGCAAACTGACCAACACATTTAGTTAGTTGGAGAATTGGTTGCCATGGTTTCTGGCTTGGAAAGGCCTCCTAGCAAAGTTTTGCCCAGGTACCCATAGAAGAACAAATATTTGCTTAACCCCAAATCCTCACATTTGTATTGATATGTGTACTTCGTATACTGTCCCTTTTAGCCCACCATTTCCTCTCTCTAGATACGATATAAAATTTGCAGCTGCAGTAAGTCTTCATTAGAAGGCCAGCTATGCTGTGTACTCACTCATATGTGGACCTGCTTTATGATACATAGTAGTGACCATGCTTTATCAGAGCTGTTTTTAATGATGTTGCTCAGAATGGTTTCCTCCCAGATGATGACTGAGAAACTAATTTTTAAAAAAAATGGTGTCAAGTACCGAAAGAGTAACAGAACTGTGCTGTCTTCTGGGATTTTTTTTTTTTTTTTTTTTTACTTTCTTTCTTTCTTTATAATGATTCATGTGCATTGGTGTTTTGCCTTCATGTATATCTATGTGAGGATGTCAGATCCCCTGGAACTAGAGTCACAGACAGCTACGAGCTGCCATGTGGGTGCTGGGAATTGAACCCAGGTCCTCTGGAAGAACAACCAGTGCTCTTAACCACTAAGCCATCTCTCCAGCCCTGCCCATGCTGTTTCTTGTGCCCACAGTGTTGGTCCAAACCTCCTCTGACCCAATCCACTCCTTTGTTTGTCCTCCACAGAAGGGATTTTCTTTCTTTTCTCAGCCTTCTCCTAGTAACCTTTTTGTAGCCTTCCTGGTTTTGCAGCTTCTGACACATGCTGTATAGACTTTTTCATAGATGGTACCTTGATATGTCTCCCAGGCTGACCTCAAACTCCCTGAGCCCTCCCTAGCACTGGGACTACGATTGTGTGCTGGCTCATTCAAATTTTAATTCTAACACTTCATCAGACTTGCCAAGCATAGATATTTCTCCAAAATCTGAAACAGTACTTCAGCGATAATAATTATTTAATAAATCTGGTGTGACAATGACTTGTATATGAACGGCCTCAGCATTCTTACTACTTAAAGCTGCACGGAAATATCGTGACTGCTCAGTTCATGGAATCAATTTGTTTCTTTGAATACAGCTAGATCTGAAGTGGCAAATTTGAAGTTTAAAATAATGACTTCTCATAGAAGTCAGCATGGGTGCTGGGGAAAAGAGAGAGGACATGGAACGCAGCTTCTCAAGCTGCATTTTCCCAACATGAGCTTGTCATCATATCACTGAATAAAATGTGATTGTGTTAGGCGATTATGCACCTACTCCCTTCCTGCTTTGCTGTTTCCAGCCAACTTTTACTTCTGGTTTTGTTTCTCGTTGCTTGCTCAGTTTAGAAGAATATCCTAACTTGGTGGCATTTAGTGTTTATTTACCCCAGAGGGTCCCTAGTTTCAGCTCTGTTCTAGAGTCCTTTCTGTTTCATCATTTGGTCCTCACCCAGTGTCTGTTTGAACAAGGACCAACAGCTTTAAACCACCACAACATGGAAAGCATGCCTTTACTAATTAATTACCTTAAAAGCCTTCTTCTGCTGAGCCAGTCTATCCAGGGTACTAAACAGAGATGGGGCTTCTCTTTTCACGAGAACATTGCATTTGTCCTACTGTAGAGTTTCTAAGCAGGGCTCTGTGTGTGCAACTTGATAATCTAGTTCATGCACATTCTGATGTACTCTAGTCTTTAGTATGTGCCTGAAATGTCACATACTGTCTCTGTGCCATTGAATATAAATGTTTTAAGAACTGTCCCTTCTTGGGAGTTAAGAAAATAATTACTACATTTTAATAGGAATGTAGACACCAATGTCCGGTAAGGATCTGAATTCTGACAACTTTATAATTACTCTTGAGTCCAGCCTTATACATGTGCAGATTCTTTTAAAAAGTTAGATGAATTTGTATTCACTTAAAAATGTGGAATTGTTCCTGGCCAATAGAGAAGCCCCAATATAATGCAGTATTTTTTTTTCAGCTGCTTCCCATTACTGTTGTTATATAATTCCACAATCATTATAATAATGTGTATTATTTATTAACTGCTACTCATGGTTTATGCCTTCCCCCATTTGTTGTCACCAATTTGAAAGCAGTGCCATCCTTTCAAGGCTTCACTTACTCAGCGTGTTTTCTAGACTATTCCTCCCCCACTCCTAGATTTGGAAGCATTTTGTTTTCATAGCATCTGTTACGGTGACATTCATTCAATTCTATTCAAGATGGTAACTGAAATAGGGGCACTTAAGATATTTCTAAAATCTGAAAAATAATTTAATATGTAATACATTGTTAAGACTTATGAAAAAGAAGTAGAATAAGAGGGCTGGACTGCACTGTGCTTCCAAGTGTTCTAGTCATTGCAATGAGGAGGTACTGAAGTCAGCACTTAATTTCTTTGCGACATTTTTACCTTTCTAAAATATGTGTGTAGAATAATTACTGACTTGAAAAGAGACAAGGAAGGGTATGGAAGGCCATTTTCCCCATAAACCCTATCAGTCTTTACTGTCCTTGTAGTAGTGATCCACTGCCGATAAGAGAAAATAGTGACCTGTTTCATAAACACTCACAAATGGTACTTAGAGTATTGTACAGTTAGTGGATTGCTAAGTAGCAGGAATTTAAGAATTATGTTGCTTTGGCTTTGATTTTTTTTAACATTAAAAATTTTGAAATAATGATACACTAGCAAGAAATTCCAAAGATAATACAACATGTTTTGCTTTTTAGTTCCTAGAAAACAGTTGAGTACTGTCCATCTGTTTCACTAAAATAACCAAAAAAAAAAAAAACCAAAAAAACAAAAAAATAGCTTTGAAGGTTCCAAAATAAAAAAACCAACATTTTCTGTAAGTAACTTAACAATTTTAAAGAGTTTTCCTCTGTACTATGTACTACAGGATTTGAGTATAAAGTTGTGTCCCTTCTAACTACAGTGAGAAAAATACTAAATTTGAGCCAATAATTTTTAGTGTAAAGCACAGACTCTGGCGTCAGATTGACCTGGAATTGTGTTCTTACATCAGTAATCGGCAAGTGGTGACTTCCTTGACATCAGTTTCATGATTAAGTGGAGATAATAATGGGCTTCTTGGAGTTCTCTCAATAATAACATATGAGGCAGTGTTGCAGAATATTTGTTTAGCTATGCAGAGATGTGTTGCATTTGGTTATGTTGCTGAATATTGTTTAACTATGTAAAGAAGTGTTTCTTTTGTTTAATTACGTGTGTTGCTGTTTACCTTGCATGCCTAAGAAACATGCCAATAGCGAGGGAGGAGACATAGGTCGAACTTCCAGGCAGGGAGAGTAAGTAGGAGGAGAATCCCGAGACTTCAGGGTCTTCTTTTCCTCCTCGATACTGAGCCTTGGTGTCTACAGTGTGGCTGGAGAATGAATGCCTCCTACTGAACACTGAAGGCCCTGCTTCCATCTTTAATACCCCTCTAGTGCTGGGATTAAAGGTGTGTGATCTGTTACTCTTTTAGAGTGATTCAATCTAGTGTATCCCTAGGTGGCCTTTAACTCAGAGAGATCCAGCCAACTCTTAATCCTGAGTCCTAGGATTAAAGGTTTGTGCCTGGCTTCTATAGCTTGTGGCTGACTTTGCTTTCTGAACTCAGACAAGCTTTAGTAAATCATAAGTAATATATTACCACAAAAATGTTTCCCATTGCAAATACACTTAGAGGCTTGCCAGCAAGAGCTTCCGCATGACCACTGTTTAATAGTAGCTGTCCCAGTGGGTCTTAGGTGGCACTTTATTGTACTTTTGATCTGTATTCCCCATAACTGCTTCAAGCATCTCTTTAGGTGTATCTCCGTTTGTATCATCTTTATTGATTAATGTTACTCTCATGTATGTGAATGTGCTATAGATTTCTCCTGTACTTTTGTTCTATGTATAGCATTTCTTTTGTATTCACTTTGCATGCAGTTGTAAAAGTTCTTTTGACATTTCGTTTTCTGTTCTGGGCTTTGTTTTCTGGAATCTTGTCCAGAAAAGTTGTGTATTTCTGTTTTCTGCATTCTTACGATTTTTTTATAGTTACCTTTTATTGTATTGTTGTATAGCTTCTTTCAAAGTTATGTCTTTCATTATGTAAATGCCATATTTCCCTTTATTGATGCCATTTTACAAATTCACAGAAGTATAGAAACCACTGTTCCATTTAGGCCTTCTTATTCTCTGTTTATATGCATGAATTTTGAACCAAATTTCATGCTTCAATTTTTGCTTTCATTGCTTAAATAAACTCTGAAAAACTCAAAAGGAGAAGGAAAGTTCATTATATCATCCATTTTGACAAGGTATTGTCCATATTTTTACTCTTCACTTTTTTGCTTTTTTTGAGGTGAGGTTTCTCTTTGTAATGCTCCTGGCTGTCCTGGAATTCACTTTGTAGACCAGGCTGGCCTCGAACTCAGGAAGCAGAGAGGAGACAGGAAGTGGGACCTGGTTGTAGAAATTCTGGAGACCCACACTCATCTACTTCAGCCAGGTTCCACATCCTAAACCTTCTATAATCTTCCTGAACAGTGCCACTGCCTGTTCAAACACATGAGCCTACGGGCAACATTTCACAGTCCAACCATAACACATGCTCTCAGTTGTGTGTGTGAGGATTACTTGAGGCAGTGGACATTCCGTTAGGACACATGGTGACATTGGAACTGTGGGCACTATTCTGTGCTGCATTTTAACTGTTTATTCTTTTGTTCTTGTTTTGCCTCTTCTTATCCTGCAGAAGTAGTTCTGAAGGTTTGGTCTTTTCACAACCATTCTTACTCAGTTCTGAGGAAGGAAAAGTGTGTGATGAGCTCAGGCTGTTGTAGAATCAGCTAGATTATCCTCTCGAAAACTTGGCCTGCTTGTATTCCTTTCCCATATTCCTTGGTTCTTTTTGTCCTTCTTCACTGTTTTCTTTTATGTTTTTTCTCTCACCTTACAGCAGTCAAAAGCTAGATGTTTGTATTTGTGTAATGCTATTGAGAACTTAGTTTATTTAAAATGGTTATGAAATGTAAATAGACATTCATTTGGGATTTATATATAGACTTTGTGATTAATTTTGGTATGCATTTATTTTAACTTGTAAGTTTTTCATAGTGACATTTGTTTAAAAAAAAAAAGGAAAAGGAAAAGGTAAAGAACTTAGTTTGACTCTCCTTTTTCCTTACAGAAAGGGCAATCGCAAGACATGAAGTCCGGGAAATTGAACAGCGGCATACAATGGATGGCCCTCGGCAAGATGCGGCTGTAGATGAAGAAGAAGATATAGTCATCATTTATAACAGAGTTCCCAAAACTGCAAGCACCTCGTTTACCAATATCGCCTATGACTTGTGTGCAAAGAATAGATACCATGTTCTTCACATCAACACTACCAAAAACAACCCAGTGATGTCATTGCAAGATCAGGTGACTTCCACGTAGGGGTGTGAAAATGCTTTCTGTGTCTCTCCTAGTTTGGTATTGCAGATGATGAGGTGTTCTAAAGCGATGTGTGCACTCTTGTCAGTTTGGGGACAAGGAGGGGTGAACCAACTTTTTTTTTTCCAAATTTATAATCGTCCTAATACTTGACATATTTTCTTGCATATAATCTATATTGAAAAATTTGTGAAATAAGCAAACTGATAAATAGCTAGAAGTTTAGGACACAGTTTTGATGTTCTTCCATATGGAATCTCTTGGTTATTGTTTGGATTTTTTGAGATAAGCTTTCTCTGTATAGTCCTTGTTGTCTTGGAGCTCACTCTGTAGATTAGGCTGGTCTTGAACTCACAGAGATCCACATGCCTCTGCCTCCTAAGTGCTGGGAAAAAAGGCGTGCACTACCACCACCCAGCATGGAATCTTTTTTTTTTTTTTTAACTTGATAAGATGCCTGCAGCAAAAGTCATTTTATTGTCTCAGCTTACAATGAGGAAGTACTGACTCGATACCTATACCCACTTCTTTATAGCCTCCTGAATTTCACTTCAGTAACTCATGTACATATTAATCATGAATGAATCTCCTGGGGAAAGATTGTGGCTGATGTCTGTATCAAAATCTTACCTTTTCAATGTCAGCAATTTTAGATGATCAAATGGACAGGTAACTTCATAAAACAGCATTTTAAAATAGAAGAGATTATTAAATGAAATCTAGTTTATTCATCTTTTCCAAAAGTACCTTACATTTTCCACATACCTGCAGTGATGACTATAGTTATAAAGTTCTCATTATAAATATTGAAGGTGATGGGAATTTGACCATCATAAAGAGAAACTGAAATCCTAGGTAATCCCAAATGCCATTGGAGTAGCTTCATTAGAAGGTATCCATTACGATCTTACTGCAGCTAGGACTTGAGCTGTTTGGAAGCAGTGGAACATATTTTGTTATGGAATTGAGCATTTTCCCACCTATCTATGACCCTTATACTATTCAGAGAATAAAACTGATAAGGATTTTGGCTCAGGAGTTGTTTTTGAAGGCTAGTGGTAGATGGCATATCATCTCCCCATCCTTTTTTTTTTTTCTGTCTGTAGGATAATTTATTTTTCATAGAACCAAAAATATATATCTCTTAGCCAGATAATTTTCTATAAATGAAAGGAAGCACAAGCTTTTTTTTACACTGTTGGTTACTTTTTTTTTTAATTCACAACACAATATTGTATATCTCAAGGGACAGCATACTAAATGTTGTTTTTGCATTCTGTGTAGTAGGTTTGCATTGTTGCATTGCACAGCATACCTTGATTTAAAAGGTATACCATCAAATTTCCTCAGCAGTATTTTTTTTAACTTGTTTGTTCGATTTTTACTTATTTTGTGTCCAACCTTCCAAAGCTCTGCAGCTACAAAGCATCTGACAGTGACATCCATGCTTCCTTTTTTTTTTTTTTTTCCATGAAATGTAAGTGTGGAGATGCTCACTACACATGACATTTATCGGCACCATAGCTACATTTCCAGTTGCATTTGGATAGGATGCATCGTCTGCTTTCCTTGCAGCAGCTTGGTGTTTATGTAGAAGGAGAAAGCAGCTCTGGCCTAGAGCAGTCGGCTTATATAACAAGCAGCACCGAGAGCTGGTTTTTGTAGAGCACTTTCGGGAAGTAGTCTTAAGCATTAAATGACATACTCCAGATGTCAGCCAGTAATTCAAAGCCTGGTCCTCATTAGGAGTGGCTTATACAGATGTGTCCTCTGATACTGTGTGTGTAAAGTTTTCTGATCTCCTGTGTAGAAGCCATTCTCTAAAACCAAACCACGTTGCGGCTCCCTTTCCTTAGCATGACATGTTTAGAGGGCTTTCACTTGTAACCCAAGAAGGTTCATCTGAATGGAAACTTAAAGCTATAATTTTGAAGTCAGTTTTCAAATAACCCATCCTCTATACTATCGTTCTGTTTTGATGTCATTTTGTTGTGCTAGTTTATAATATTTAGCAAATTAAGTAGGAATTAAGGATGGCTTTACTATTTTCTAAGCAAATAGCCTCAAATCGATGTCTGACTGTAGTGAATGTGCTGTTGTACAGACCTCCATTTAAAGCCCAGTTGGCTTATCAGAAAGCTGGGGTTGTATGTAATAGGAGACCCTGGTGTTCTTGGATCCTCATGCATCCAAATGGAGCTCTTCCAATCCAGTCCAGTCCTCATCCCGCCCAGCCCAGCTCTCCAGACCATGAATGTGCTACACTAGGCACCGTGTAAACTACGTGCTTAACTGCTCTCCTCAAAGTTTAGAAGCAGAGCACGAAACATGTTTAGTCTGATACAGAGCTGTTCAGAGAGATGACAACAATGGCCTCCTTAGCCATCCTGAAAAGCTGCCAGCTTTACTCTCAAGTGTCTCATTGACCTTACCGAGCATGTGATACATGCAAAGATGGCGCCACTTAATTGGGAGAAACACCAATGAAATCAAAATGTCTTTCAAAGAGGATAATTAAAACATCAGTGTACGACAATCTCACCAAGATGCTGTGTGTGGACGTAACTGAAGAAAGCAGACATTCATGTTACATAACAGCCTGTGAAACAACTCTCCTCCTTGTCTTTTCTAAAGCTTCAGTGTTGTGACAACTGAAAAAGGACAAGGATCTAGGGTGGAGGCTCAGACTGCAGGAGACTGAGAGGTGTGATCTCTAATTGATCTCGTTCATAAGTAATACACAATGTGGTATTTAAGAATGAAGTGTGCACAAGTGCTGCTCTCAGGTATTTGAGAACAGTCTGTCTGACTGAATACATAGAGACAGCACACTGCAAGTTGCAATATATTAACAGTTAAGGATGTAAGTAAGTAGTTTGTGGATGTTGTGGTACCATACCATTTTGACTTCCATAGTGTAGAGCTTGTTTGTTTTGGATGGGCACAAATATGCATGAATGTTCTACCTTAGTCTCCCGTCTGAAAAGAAGCAGTTGGGACTGTGGAAGAAGGAAGTTTTTAAAGAGGAGATTAATAGAATATAAAGCACAAGAAACTAAGTGATTAAAATGAAGTGACCCTTGTTAGAGTTTGTTTTTTGAGGTGGCCTTTAATTCAGATGTTTAAAAAGAATTAGCAAGGGCTGGAGAAGTGAGTCAATGGTTAAGAGTGTTGATTGCTTTTCCAGAGGGCCCAAGTTTGATTCCCAGCACACACATGGTACCTTGCAACCATAGGCAACTCCAGTTCCAAGGGACCCAAGTCCCTCTTCTTGGCCTCTGTGGGCACAAGGCATGCATGTGGTACACAGACACACATGCAGACAAAACACTCTATACACATAAAAAATAAAATACATTAAAAAGAGAAAGAATTGCTGAGAGAAACAACTCTTCTATTAAGAGCAGTAGGTGTGATTGGCAGCATCCTGTGTGGTCTTTCTTAAGCCCATTCTGTTCATATGCTTAAGTTGATTGTCTGTGGTCCCTCTTGACTTAAGCACTGCAAGTATCTAGCCCTGTAGGACAACATTGTAAAGTATTTCTGTTGTGTATGCATGTGTGCTTCCTTAACTCACTCTCAAGCTGCCTTGTGCTCATTTTCATTATAGCTTACAGTTTGCTATGTGCTGCAGATACTTCCCAGAGCAACATGCTAGCTAAGCATTTGCAACCTATTACGTGTAAGCTAATCATTGGTTAAAATGTGGTTCTTGCTCTAAAGAACCAAATGGAGCCTGGTGTTCTGAGTTTTTAAGAAGCTTCCACTTGATGCTACAATTTGAGAATTCGTGATTTAGAGCGGTCCAGTGGTATACACAGACACGCTGAGATCTTTCCAGAAAGTTTTATTTATCTTTAAATTCATGTTCCTAGTTTCCTGACAGCATTCAGGTGTCTCATCCAGTAGATACACTAGCTTTTTGGATCATTGACTAAACCAGGCCTTTCTTAATTCAAGATCTCTGCTCTTACCTATTTGTGGAATAAATTCCTCGTTCAGTTGTCTTCTTGTTATCCTTTTAGTGTTTCAAATTAAATAACAGGCCCTTGGACCTTGTTATATTAAATGTTCCTTTCAAAGTATTGAAACCACGTCACTCCTAGTACTACTCAACTTGTAAAGTTGTGTTACATATTGGTTTCATTTCTTTTTGTTTTCCTGGATTGTAGCGGAAGCCCCTTGAAGGCAGACTTCTTGCTTGTCCACTGTATGCCTCATGCCTTGTTTCTCAAATGGGTGACCAAGACATGGAAGATACTTGATGCACTTTTTGTGAAATGATGAATGTATAAGCAAATGAGCCAGTCTCGATTTTGATGGTAATCCTTAGCTGACTACCCTCTGATTGATGGAAGTTTGAGACTTAGGACTCTTGAGCGGCTCAGGTCTGAACCTCCACTGCAGATGAACTTACCTTTGTATCTATCCACTCACTAGCTTTCTCCTGAGTATAGAAAGCCTTCTCTCTGGTCTAGACTAAAAACATATGCCTGTGGCTATATGAGAAATGTTTATTTGAAGTAAATTTATCAGGAGTTGGTGAATAGTAATTACTCAAGTTAATAGTAGTCTTCGTCTCAATAGATAGCAATTACAAAATTGGAATTAGGCTAGGGCATTCAGGGATACTCCCCCTCCTTCAGGCAGTGGAAAGGGGTTCTTTTGTGATCATAGATGATCAGGATGTGAAGTCAAACCTGTCTCCAATATAAGCCTAGATACCATTAGTGCGAAGGTGCTTTCTTAGCTTTTTCTTTAGAATTGGTTCAGGTCTGATTCAACAAGCAAATAAATCATGTACCTCCACCTGCACTGTTGTGTTTTCCCT